GGAGGGGGCGTCCTTTAAAAAAATATTGTTATGTATAGGTATATTATGTAATGTTCTTTATGTCATTGTTCTTGGCTGTTTTACGATTGTCTTTTTTCTTCTTTTTTTTGTTGGTCTTGGCTATTACATCTACTTTTCTGTTTAATGTGCCATGATGAAACAACTAATCAAAAGAGAGTTTTTGGAAAACTGCAGCCAGATGTTGTTTTTCAATTTCTAACACGTCAATTTTTCAAATTATTTTGTTTCTAATATGTGCATGCAATACATGTATGTTACAAAGCACAGTCTATTTTATGAGTCGTTTGGAATTAAAAATCAGAAAATTGAAACTAATGCACATCTATGGTCAAGACGTACTCTGCCTTACTTGAAAAGTGCAACTTTTGAGACACACAAGTCATAAATAAACTTATGTGTGGCAGAGTGGTGGAATCAGGCTCTCGTCAAAATAATCAAAGTGAAGAAACTTGCATTTTCAAACAGGTTTGTGAACTTTCATAAAATTTTTGTTTTTTGGCTCGACACCTTTCATGCCCATTAAAGAACTAATTTCTGTGTGGATTTTTCTGAAAAGCGTTGATTAAAGGCACATAAATGAATAATTTTCAGTTACCATGGACTCTTAAGCTAAGGAAATAATTAATCTTTGGCGGCCATTTTCTCACTATTTTTACCTCTGAAAACAGGTGACCCCCACCTCCTTCTTTCGCAAATATCTCGACTTGTATAAAAGTTAAATGGATATTTTTTTCATCCAAATAAAGACAAGCGAACAAGCCTTAAGATGATACCAATAACTCTACATGCCCAAAAATTGACGAGAGCCTGATTCCACCACGCTGCCGCACATTTTATTTCCGAAGCGCGTCTGAAACATTGTGGTGCAACGTAGCACATTCCTTTAAAGTGTATTTTTCATGTAAGTGTTTTTACTACAGCTGGGCGAAGAGTCGATTCCGGAACCGATTCCCGCGATTAATACTAAGGAAGTAAAGTTCCGATTCCTTTTTACGAAGACCAACGGTTGCCAGTTATTTTAATCATTAAAATCTTCTTTTTGAAAAAGGATTTATTTTGGAAAAAAAAAGAAGTTGATGCCTCGTAGTATTCCGAAATCAAGGTTATCCTAAATCCTGAAGATGTTCGGCACCAACCAGGTAACCACTGGAAGAAATCACATCATTAGAAAGTAAGTAATTGGGTTCGGAGTCGATTCCTACGATTCCTAGCTTTCAATAATCGGGAACCTAGCCGCCCAGCACTAGTTTTTACACCTCCATTAGCTTTCTGGCTGTAGTTAGACAGGTTTACCACAATTTTGCAAAAAAGGTAGTCATAATAATGTGGTCTACCATCACTACAAACTTTCAGTCTCACTCTTTAAAACAAATGCAGTAAAGAGACCAGGTATCATGTTGCTACCTATCCCTCATATCGAAATGGCGTTTGTTTGTTGGGTTTTTTTTGTTGTTTGTTTTTGTTTTTCATGGCACGATCAAACTGTATAGCCTACGGATTACAATTTAATGTGTTGGAAAGATCTTGAAATCCCATACTGTGATGTCAGTCTAGCAGCAACAGCGACCCCCTTGGGAAGCAAGCTCTGGTTGATGATAGCACAGCTCTAGGGCAAATGTACATTGTCATGTATTTGACAGTTTTCCCAAGCTGTGAATATTGTGGGTTGTCAAAGTTTAACGTTTTTAAAATACCCAGTTCAGTTTGTTTTCGATACATTTTCTTTTGGACAACAATCCCAGTAATTATTTTTAAAAAGAAAATACATTTAAAGAAAACAATCGCAGAAAAATGACATAAAAACTGCCGGACTTTCTAAATCTAATGATTCAAAAGGAATTATCATGTAAGAATGATCCAATTTATCTCAATAGGCAAAGCTTTAACAATTTTGAGTAAACCTTTCAGTTTTATATTACATGATTTTTTTAAACCCCCAAAAAAATTATGTAAATACTGCCAGATTTTTTAAATCTTATTTTAATTAATCAAAAAGAACAATCATAGTGTAAAAATGATCCAGTTTAACTCATTAAGTAAAGCTTTAACAATTTTTAGTAAGCCTTTAAGTTTTATATTACTTGATTTTTTAAACCTCAGAAAAAGCAATGTAAATACTGCCAGATCTTTTAAATCTAATCAATGAAAATGAACAATCATAATGTAAAAATGATCCAATTTAACTCATTAAGCAAAGCTTTAACAGTTTTGAGTAAACCTATCAGATTTGTAAGACTCGATTTGGAAATTAAAAACTTGATTTGTATTGCTTCCTTTTCCTTTAGCTGTGGCGAAACAATTTTTTTAATTTTTAATTTTAATTTTAATTTTATTTTTTAAATATTTTTTTTGCATAGCTTGTTTTTGGTCTGGGCAAATTATTCCTCGCTGCAGCGCGCGTATTTCCCACCAATGCGATTCTATTATTTGCTTTACAATTTGCCATCTTCATCTTTTTACCGTATCTGTTATCTGTTTATCATCGCCTGTAGGACGCTTCATTCGCCTATAGGAAGCATGCATGTATTAGACCCAGGTAGACTTGAGAGTAAATATATTTGGTATAATTTACAATAATATAATATAGGCCTACTACTACTATGTCCATTGGATAAGGTGTACCAACTTTATTTTTTTGTCAAGCACCATCAAGTGAGTAGCGTCTTTTTCTAAAATGTAGTTTAGTTTGTAAAGAGTCTTATGGAACTTGAAACAAGACAAAGTCATAAAATTGCCGAATTATAGGAGTGTTACTAAATAAGCCGTATATACTATATATTATATAGAGCTAAGAAAAGAAGGAAAAGAGATAATGACGAAAGATGTTTGGTAGGAAAGAGGGAGCACGCCAGAACAAACCAACTGGAGTTTCCATTCATACCCATATTTCAAAATAAATAATATGCTTTTAAATTTTTATTTATTAATTTTTTTTTGTTAACCTGTTTATTAATTTACCCCATAGAGTTACCCCTTTTGTATTGTTTTGCTGACCTAAACAAAGGAGTTTGTTCCCTTGATCAGCCCCTACTGAAGTGATGGCGTGAAATTTCCTATCTCATGGATAAGACGCACGACGACTTTGAAGCTCCGATTTGTAGATGACAAGTTACGTCTTTTACACGATGATATATACCGTACCTGTTCTTTTTGTGCGAAAATAAATACTGTCAACAAATTCTTGTGTGAACAGCTGTCTTGTATGAGTTGTATGCATTAGTTGTAGCCTAATATTTGTTCGAGTAAATGTGAGGCAGCGTGGTGGAATCAAACTCTCGTCCAAATAATCAAAGTGAAGAAACTTGCATTTTTCCACAGGTTTGTGAATTCTTTTCAAATTTTTGTTTTTTTCTCAACACTTTTCATGCCCATAAAAGAACTCATTACTGTGTGGATTTTTCTGAAACACGTTGATTAAAGACACAGAAAATGTAAATTTTCAGTTACCACGGACTCTGAAGCGAAGGAAATAACTAACCTTTGGCGGCCATTTTTTCACTAATTTTACCTCTTAAAACAGGTGACCCCCACCTCCTTCTTTGGCAAATATCTCGACTTGTTTTCAAGATAAATTGATACTTTTTTCATCCAAATAAAGACAAGTGAACATTCTTTAAGATGATACCAATAACACTACATGTCCAAAAAATTGACGAGAGCCTGATTCCACCACGCTGTCTCACAAATAATTTTTTCCACTCAATGTAGATTGAATGATTGAATGTACTGTAGACAGTAGGCCTACAGATTCAAGTCCAGACTTTCATCAACAGATGTATGAGGAGTATTCTAAGAATTAAGTGGCAGGATAGAATAAGAAATGAAGAGCTGTGGGAAAGGACAGAACAAAAGAATATAGATATAAATAGGACTACGAAAGTGGCGATGGATGGGACACACCTTAAGAAAGCCCAACGGAAACATCACAAGACAGTCAATGCAGTGGAACCCACAGGGAGCACGAGGCAGGGGTAGGCCACGGGAAACATTGAGGAGATGCGTGGAAAGAGACATGAGAGAGATGACGCTCACTTGGAACGAGCATGGAAGGATGGCTCAGGACAGAGATAAATGGAAGGAGCTTGTGTGTGGCCTATACCCTGCCAGGGGTGAAAGGCATTGATGACGATGATGATGATGATGGTGATGAATGTAGATTAGAATACCCCCTTCGAGGACATATTTGAGGCAGCGTGGTGAAATCAGACTCTCGTCAAAATAATCAAAGTGAAGAAACTTGTATTTTTCTACAGGTTTGTAAATTTTTATCAAATTTTTGTTTTGGGGATCAACACCTTTCATGCCCATTAAAGAACTCATTTCTGTGCGGATTTTTCTGGAAAACGTTAGTTAAAGGCACAAAAGATGTAAATTTTCAGTTACCACGGACTCTTAAGCTGAGGAAATAAATAATCTTCGGCGGCCATTTTGTCACTAATTTTAAATCTGTAAACAGGTGACCCCCACCTCCTTCATTCTCAAATATCTCGACGTGTATTTAAGATAAACGGGTATTTTTTTCATCCAAATATAGACAAGTGAACAAGCTTTAAGATGATACCAATAACTCTACATACCCACAAATTGACGAGAGCCTGATTCCTCCACGCTGCCTCACATATTAAATCATTTATTAGGGGAGGGGGAGGATATTCGGACTTTAACCACCTTGCCTATCAAGGCCAATTGGGGCTGAGAGGAATGCTACTACGTCCTTGAAGAAAGACAGAGTTAAGCCTACTTGAAAAAAACCCAACCCAACAAACACCCCCCCCCCCCCAACAAATTATATACATTCAGGAATCGAACAGCATTCTTCTGCAGGTGACCGCGAAACCAACCTATCGTTCACGGCATCAGATGGTGACATTCGAGTAAAAAGAAGCGCTTTCATCACAACAACGCTTATTAAAAGCTGGGGAAAAGCAAGACACAACAGAAGGAAAGAAAGAAGTATGTTTGTCCAGTGGCACCCTCCAACCGCCCACACTCACAGTATAGACAAGGCGCTTTCTTAGTGCTGCAAAGTTCTATCTGACATTTTTGACAAAGATCATAAGGTCAGAAATCAAATTTTCTATTTCCTCTATCAAAATCCTGAGATTCTTCAAGATATTTAAAGAACCGCGTTAAAAAAAGCCTGACAAGTTGTGAAATCCGAAATTTCTGACGTCAAATTTTTCTTTCTTTTTTATTTAGTAATAGTAGAGGGTTTTACGGCGCTCGCAACTGCATAAAGTCATATGAGCGCCAAGGGGTTGGTGTCAACAGAGAAGTCTTTACAGGGAATCAGACTTATTCTGTTCACCTCTCTAGCTTCAACAGCACAAAGTCTGCTTCGACTATCAAGGCACCCCGAAAATAGCAGGTCACAAGAGAGTGACAAAAATACAAAAGAAGTAGACGAATATGATAATAGTAAGGATCAGGAAAGAAAAAGCAGCAGTTCCCTGTTGCAGATCAGGCACAGTTATGAGCGTGACATGATGAATCAGCCCATTTACAATTCTACTGTGCTTGAACGAAAAATGTCCCCCCCCCCCCCCCCCTTTTGGGAAAGGCCTAATATCCTACAGTCAGTGGCACTGCCCCGGGGGGAGTCCAAAGTTCTTATATCTGACATTTTTGCCAAAGATCATAAGGTCAGAAACCAAATGTTCTACATGAATCTCCTCCATCAAAATCCTGAGATAATTCAGAGTCGTTGTCAAGACATTTAAAGAATCGCGTTTAAAAAAAAAGCCTTACATTTTGTGAAATCCAAAATTTCTGACGTGGAATTTCTCAAAACTAGGTACTGTGAGTAGATAGAACTTGGTATTTCTTGGGTAGTGAAGTGTTGGTCTCGTCAACCTTTTCATAACCAACACCCACTTTTGCCATGTTTGAGAGGCTAAATAACCAACGGCCACTTTTGTCATGTTTGAGAGGCTAAATAACCAACGGCCACTTTTGTCATGTTTGAGAGGCTAAATAACCAACGGCCACTTTTGTCATGTTTGAGAGGCTAAATAACCAACGGCCACTTTTGTCATGTTTGAGAGGCTAAATAACCAACGTCCACCTTTGCCATGTTTGAGAGGCTAAAGTCTCCGTACCGCCAACCTATATACATTACGTCGGTGGCCTAGTGGTTAGGCTCTCGGACTCGCAACCGTAAGGTCGTGGGTTCGAATCCCGTCAGGGGCCCGACGTTGTATCCTTGGGAAAAGCACTTTACACAAATTTTCCTCACTTCACCCAAGTGGAAATGGGGTACCCGGCTATAGACAGTGAACGATCTTGTCAGATTGATAGTGTTTGAGCGCGTGAAATCCGCAGCTTGCACTGTATGCTTCCGCAGAAGTTGAGAATGTTTCTGGGTGTTCTCAGAGGGTCTGCACTGGTAATGATAGTTATAAAGCGCATAGAGCATGCTCTTGAGCACGAATATGCGCTATATAAATGCAATTATTATTATTATTATTATTATTATTATTATCATTATTTCCAAGGGAATTTATAAAACACCTGTCTCAACCCCAGTAGGTGTTTTACGGCACTTGCAACACAAAATAAGGTCATATAAGTGCCGAAGATTAGATGTGTTACAAGAGAGTAACAAAAACAAAAAAGGAGGAGAGATAAGGACAATAGACGTTTGATAGGAAAGAAGGAGCAAACCACACCAGAGCACCCGCCAAACACCCACTCACCCAGGTCGGCAAGCATAGGTATAAATAATAAACTGAACAAACGCAAACACAAATGGAGTATAAAAAATCCTGCCCTTTATTGGAAACAAAAAATAAAATAAAAACACAAAAAACACAAAAAAGTAGAAATCCAAGAGGGCAAAGTGTAAATTAACAACACAACATTTCTTGTTCCTTCTTTTTAAAAAAATATTTTATACATATATTATGTGTTTTACGCTCACAATGACACAAGTCAGTTTATCTAAGAGGCGGGCGTCCTCCCTTCCTGTATGGGCCAGCCCTGTGGGGACGAGTCCAGTGATGCTGAGGGAAGACTGTAGGCCTACATGATTGATACTCAATAAACATTCTCCCCACATGGGAATCGAACTCGGGTACTCTGTGTACAATGGTAAGGTCACTAACCTCTACACCACAGACGCCAGTCTCGTTCCACCTACAAGGAAAAACCTATCAATCAAGATGAGGCGCAAGACAAGGCGAACCAATCAAGACAAGACGAAGCTGTCAATCAAGGCGAAGCTGTCAATCAAGACAGGACGAACCTGTCAATCAAGACAGGGCGAACCTGTCAACCAAGACAAGACAGACCTGTCAATCAAGGCGAACCTGTCAATCAAGACAGGACGAATCTGTCAATCAAGACAGGACGAACCTGTCAATCACGACAGGGCGAACCTGTCAACCAAGACAAGACAGACCTGTCAATCAAGGCGAACCTGTCAATCAAGGCGAAAAGGAGAACCGCCAGGACACACAGAACTTAATAAGGTTTTACAATGCTCGAAACTGCACAAGGTCATATGAGTACCAAGGGGTGGATGTCAACAGAGAAGTCCGGTGAATCAGGCTTACTCTGCTCACCTCTCTAGCCTCAACAGCACAAAGTCTGCTTCCACTATCAAAGCAGTCACTCAGAGGAGACTTCACACTACCTCGTCTAAATAGCGTTAAGGCCTGCCATGACGGCTAAAAAAAAAAAGTAAATTCTTGGATTTAACGGCCCCAGTGGTTTTATGCACCCCGCATAATTTAGCAAAATTTGATCATTTTTTTTGCGCTTAATTTCTGATTATTTTCCTTTATCATACTTTTAAAAAAAACAACAGAATCGCATAAATTCACATTTTTGGGCTCAGTTTGCATAATTTCTTAATTTTTTTCACATAAAAACCATGGGGACAGATTTAAGCTCGATGGACAAAAATACTTCAAGTTTTACAGCTTGAGTCTTTACAGTTCTGTTCATTTGTACGATACGAAAAACGACAAGTTTGATTCAAAGGACATGCCATCAATTGGAAATATCAACACAATCGGACTTCTGCGTTGATTTTGTCTTATATCACCATTCGAAGGTCATGAGAAGTAACTCGTTCTGTCAGCACGGCTCACACATGCTCAATACTGTTTCATTGTTTTCTGAAGGCAATATCAAATGGAGAAAAAGAAAAATTGATTCAAATCACAGTCTTAGCACAGGAGGCGCGAGGAAAGTAGCAAAAAGGTAACACAGACATATAATTATTCCAACGTTCACATCACAAAGTCATGGATGGATAATTAAAAGAAAAAACAAAACAACCTTGTTTTACGTTCCTATTGACAAAAATGTCGTTCATTTCGGGGACGGGCTGTTTTGGTCCTAGTCGTCAAGGCAAAAAAGGGTTGTATAGGACACCACACCCCGGTGAAGAGACAAATACAACTCAATAAAAACATCATCTTCTAAAAAAAAATGCATGTGTGAAGGCTACAGGGAGAAAAACGATGGTAGTCACAACTGAAAATCGGGAAGGTACCAATTTTAAACGCTTGTTGACTCATAACTGTATTTCTGTCCAACTGTTGGTATATTATTTTTGTTAGATTTCCAATTCAACAACATTTAACAATAAACCACCAGTCAAACAAATATGTGAGGGAGCGTGGTGGAATCAGGCTCTCGTCAAAATAATCAGAGTGAAGAAACTTGCATTTTTCCCACAGGTTTGTGAATTGTTATCAAATTTTTGTTGTTTAGCTCAATACCTTTCCTGCCCATTAAACTAAAGAACTCTTTTCCCTGTGGAATTTTCTTCAAAATGTTGATTGAAGTAAGGCACAAAAAATGTAAATTTTCAGTTACTACAGACTCTAAAGCTAAGGAAATAACTAATCTTTAGCAGCCATTTTCTCACTAACTTTACCTCTGAAAACAAGTGACACCCACCTCCTTCTTTCGTAAATATTTCGACTTGTATTCAAGATAAATGGATATTTTTTCACCCAAATAAAGACAAGTGAATAAGCTTTACGATGATACCAAAAACTCTACATGCCCAAAAATTGACGAGAGCCTGATTCCACCACGCCACCTCACAGGTATGAGTCCATAAGCTTTTAAAATTGACACCCTCACAATTTCCAGTTTGTGACTACAGTCGTTTTTCCTTGAGCTCTTCGTATGTGTTTTTACGCCTCTATCCGCACAATTTAGAGAGCTTAGAAAGCTACACCTCTATCCGCACAATTTAGAGAGCTTAGAAAGCTACACCTCTATCCGCACAATTTAGAGAGCTTAGAAAGCTACACCTCTATCCGCACAATCTAGAGAGCTTAGACAGCTGGCTTTGACCCTATCTGTCAGAACCTGTCAGCAGCAGATGGACAGAAGCTCACAACAACAACAACAAAATTTGTCAGCAAATTGGTCTGATGTGCTACGCCCCAAAATTTTGATATTTTCTGAATTTTTCAGTGCAGTTCCTTAATCTGTGAAATCAATTACATGTGCTCAATAATTCAAAATGTCATTCTGAATGTAGAAAGAAAACCTACAAAACACACAAAAGCTAGGGGGTAAAGTTTCAAAAAAATTGAAACAATAAAAGATCGAAACAGTATTTCTCTCTCCTGAAGAATTTTATTTCCTGGGCTTAGAACAGCCGAGCAGCTTGCCAACTGTGTCAAAATAGCGGAACTTGTGATTTCAGCAAAGTCCTTGTCATGTAGGTCTATACAGTCAAAACCTCGTTGTCGGGTCACACAACAGAAGAACCCCGTTACACCACCGCCAGCCCCTCTATTCTGCCAACTTCCTGCCAGTCCCAAGGGAGGCGGTATAACGAGGTTTCACAATACATTAAATGTGCCTCAAAGTCTGAAACCCCTTCCAAAAACACTGCACTAAAGTGCTTCCTTATCAAGCTTATCCGCCTTTTTGTTAATTTAGAAACATAATGTTATGCATAATGTATTCACGAACAAACCAACAGCACTTCAAGAAATAGAACATAACTATAAAACTGAACCCCTGCCCTGTCTCGGAATCTAGACAACCTCGGAATAGAAACCAATGTGTAATTCTTGGCAGGTTTAGTATGACCCTGTGAAACAAGTTATTGAGCATGGACCAGTTATAGAACATGGGACAGTTATAGAACATGGGACAGTTATAGAACATGGGACAGTTATAGAACATGGGACAGTTATAGAACATGGGACAGTTATAGAACATGGGACAGTAGTGTCAACAAGGAACAACATCTGAAAGACCAGGGCGTGGGAAATATGAGCCACAACACCTCACTACAATCATTCGCCACCATCTATCCTCACAATCATTCACTACGGATAATCCCAAAATCATTTACCATAGCCAGTCCCAACAATCACTCTCCATAACAATCATTCATTAACCACGATCATTTATCAAAATCGCTCAAAACAATCATTCCTAAACCACAACCATTTATTACAATCACTCACAGCAATCATTCATTACAATAAATATTGTTCTCCCCATAATCATTCATAACAATCACTCTCCACTACTGTTCATTACAATCACTAACCACGATCATTCATTAAAATCACTCACCATAATTATACCAATCACTTTTCACAGTCATTCATTACAAGCACTCCTCACAATCATTCATTACAATCACTCACCATGATCATTCATAACAATCACTCCAGTGACTGTTCATTACAATCACAATCCACAATCATTCATAACAATCACAATCCACAATCCCTCATTACAATCACAACCCCACAATCCCTCATTATAATCACTCCACACAATCATTCATTACAAGCACTACCCGCGACTGTTCATTACAATCACAACCCACAATTCCTCATTGCAATCACAACCCACAATCATTTATTACAATCACAACACCACAATCCCTCAGAACAATCACAACCCCACAATCCCTCATAACAATCACAACCCACAATCATTCATAACAATCACTAACCCAACTCCCTTATTACATAACAATCACTCACCATAACAGCTCTCCACAACTGCTCACAATACAACTGTTCACAGTCACCTACCAGAACTCCCCTTCACAATGTAGAATTTCCAAGAACAAATTTGGGAATCACCTTGTTAAAACACACAACTAAAACAATCGCTTTTTGCAATGAACAATGGCAACATGTTACACAATACAGTAAATAAAATTAAAAAGTGTAGCCTCTTCATGTCATGAGTAAATATTGTTGAGTATATGATATTATGAAAAAAATATAAGAATCATTTCATTCACATTCGTCTGGTGAGCATTGAAAAAAACAACTAAAAACAAAAATCAGCATTCTGTGAGCAGGAAATCTTTCTGTGTCATGAAAGTACAAAACTAAGTTAGTTTAGTATGGTGTTTTACGGCGCTCGCAACTGCATAAGGTCATATGAGCGCGCGAAACACAAACTAAACATACATTTTTAACACACACAGGCCCATAGCCTTTTTCATAGTCTGAGCGATAAAATTCCTCAACGTCATGAGTGGCAATACAAGAACAAAGCATAAAATTGAACAGTTTTCAACAACAAAAAAACTGTCAGTCAAAACATAATGTCTAACCATGCTCCTCACTCAGAAATTATTCCAACCGGAGTTGGAAAAGTGTCGGTGAAGATTTGTCAAAAACCAAAATGTACAAAATGATGCATCATGCTCGGTGTCAACCTATTCTGCTTGTCTTTTTTTAGTAAGTTTTACAGCACTTGCAACACAATAAGGTCATATAAGTGCCGAAGATGAAAAATGTTACAAGAGAGTAACAAACACAAAAAAGGAGAAGGGGAGATCAGGACGATATAGATGTTTGATGGGAAAGAAGAAGCAAACCACACCAGAACACCCACCAACCACCCACATTCTGCTTGTGAAAACAATACTTTGATACAGTATAACACGGATAAGTGCAGTATAATGCGGACAGATCTAACACAGAAGACTCGAAATCACACTTTTGTCGAACTGTGCCTGCGGTCCCATTTTTTTTTCTTTCTTCATCTTTGTAAGATATCCCTCGAACTATGGATAACTCGAACTACGGATAACTCGAACTACGGATAACTCGAACTACCGAAGCAGGTCCTGATGAATTCGAGCAGTCAGTGTTATACTGTATTATGAAAAGACATCTTCTTTTGCTTTTCTGTCTGCTTGTTTGTAAAATTTTGTTCAGCATTGGTGTGATATTATGTATTTGTTATTCATTGTGAGTATGTTTGATCATGTATTCATGTATGTAGGCCCTATGTTTGCCATTGTAAAACAAATGACCGTACGGGAATAAATAAAGTTTGATTTATTTATCATTTGAATAATTTTTTACCCCCCGTACAAGTAGCAACCTTTAGTGGTTCTTCGACGTTTATAAAGTTACATCTACTCTTAGCCATACCGCTGTTCTATCTCGCCTTTATCTTTGCATATATATATCGTTGTTCTTTCTCGCTTCTATTCTTTGCCATATCGCAGTGCTATCTCAGATTTATTCTTTGCCATATATCGCTGTGCTATCTCAGATTAATTCTTAGCCATATCGCTGTTCTATATCGCCTCTGTATCCTTAGCAATATCGCTGTTATACCTCGCCTCCATTCTTTGCCATATCGCTGTTTTATCTCATCTTCCTAGCTGGGTATCTTATGTCATCATCAGTTGTCACGAAAAGAGTGAATGTGAAGATATGAATATTCATAACTTCTCACAAAGAAAAACAGAGAGTGCAATGCTGAGTGAGGCTGAAAATCCTCCAAACCATGACCATGAACCTCATCAGTTAGACATGACCAATAAGGAATAATACATCAGTGTGGTTTAACGTTGTTATTTAGTGAAGGGTAAAAAGCAGGATTGACCAAAACAATATGGGAAAGAAAAAAAGGATGAACCCCCCCCCCACATTCGGTGGCGCCCTCTAACCACCCACACACAAGTTGTAACAAAACAAGGAAAAGTAAAGGAACGCTTTCTGTTTGCGAAGAAGATGCAAGAAAGCAGTCAAAAAATTTGCCCATGTAAAATGTTCGTTACAATAAATTACATTCGTATAGCTCATTTCCACTAGGAAAGAGCTCAGTGGGCTATACAATAGTACAAAGAACATATTTCCAATAGTTATAGTAATCCTTTCACTCATAAAAGAATCTCTGTCAAATTACATAAAATTCATCGCAAATAGAATTACAGGCGTGAAATCAGGCACTCGTCAAAATAATGAAATTGAAGATTCCGACATTTTTCCACCTGTTCAGCAATTTTCATCAAATTTTTGTGTGTTGGGGGCTACGCCTTTAATTATGTCCATTTAAAACATTTTGGTGTAGGTTTTCCAAAAAAACGTTGATCAAAGACACAAAAATGTAACTTTGCAGTTTCCCAGGACAGCGTTGAAAATCACCACACTTTGGTGTCCTTTGTATTTCCTACTATTACCTCCGCCACAATCGACCTCCACCTCCTTCAATCGCAAATACTGTGTGTAGCGTGCGTGAATATTGTTTGTACATGCATTTATGTAAAGCGCCTAGAGCTGGGCGCTATAGAAATGATCTTCATTATTATTATTATTATTATATCTCAGCTGCTCTCCAAGATAGATTAACTTTTTAAAAAAATGAAAGGCAAGGCACGTAAACACAGTTTAAGATCACCCCAAATGCCCAAAACTTAACGAGAGCCTGACTCCACCACTTTGTGAGAAAAGCCATGACAATCTGTCAATTCTGAACAACACAAACTGAGCACATCCTCCGTACCGTACAAACCAGGAAGTATGAACAAATACATAGCAAAATCAGTGAGGACGCAAGCAATCTTTCGATGTGTGCACGTTTCAAATACAAAGAATATACATGTATAAGAAAAACTTTGGGACGTGAAAATATGTTTGCTGCATGTGTACGTCCGTTATACATGTGTTCGCTATGTGTGTGTTCGCTATGTGTGTGTTCGCTAAGTACATATTCTCTATGAGCACATTTGCTATGTGCGCGCTAGACGCTATGAAAAGTTTGACACCCATCAGATGCATTTGTATCAAAATAGTAACACAATAAAGCGAACTGAGGCATGCTGAAAAATCAAACGCTGATTACGCAAAAATGAACTAATCACAACCAGGTCCTCGTGTCACGAGGTGAGCTTAAAACTT